GGGGGGGGGCAAAGAAAGCTAAGCAAAGTCCTGGCTATGTGCTGCTCGGGACTGTGTGAGGCATCACTTGTAGTCTCCCTCCAGTCTCGCACACACACACACAGTCAGCCAGGCAGAGGCAAGCAGTCACAGGTTGGTCCAAGTCTCTCTCTCTCTCTCTTTCTGTTCTCTATCTGTGTTTCAGTCTGTTTCTTCCAGCCTCACTTTTCCTCCTCCTCCTCCTCTCTTGGCAGCTACTGAAGAAAGTGCCGAGCTGAGAGCGAGCATGTGCTAGCAGCAGTCAGTGACAGTCTGGCTGCTTCCAGGGACCTGCTGCTCAGAGGAAGAGCGAGAGAGAGCGTGTGCAAGTGTACATATAAGCGAGAGCGGGAGAGAGAGAGAGAGAGAGAGAGAGAGTAGAGCGTGTGGGTGTGCATGTGCAGGTATGTACACAAACATCAAATTACAGGTTAGCAGAGGGAGAGAGCGGCGAGTGCAGAGGGGGGTGCAGAAAACACAACTCTCACACACTCTTGGAGAGCAAAGTCCTCGGAAGCAACACAACGCACTTCTGCTTATTACAACAGATTTGAATAAAATCCTGTCCAGCTGGTGTGGCGGGTCTAAGGCAGTGCCAGTGCTTGTGTGCAGGTCCGGTTTTCATTATTGTGTGTTTAAGCTGGCCGCCTTCCTGCGTGATTTCTGACAGGAAGATTTAAATCTGCATGTTTAAAATGCACAGGTGTAGAAATGAGTTAAGGTGGCGTGACTGTGTCATTTGCCTTGCCATCCTTTCTTTTTCTTTTTTTCCCCCAAGAGGGGTGTGGAGTAAAGTTTCCCTTCCTTATGTTATCTTCTTGTCTCCACCCTACTTCTCCTCATGAAGTCCACTTTCACTTCTTGTCAAAGCTCATTAAGTCCTCTCATCTTCTCTTCATCGTCTGCGCTCCTTGCTCGTTTCTTTCTCTCTCCTTTTCTTCTTTATGTTGCCTCTATTTTTGCCCCCTTTTACGCTACAGACCTCCAGTCTGTCTCGCTCCAGGCAAAAACTCCCAGCTGCGCTTTCCTTCCTGCTGTAGTTCCGACACACAACTCCTTCACCTCTCTTGCCCCGAACCACACTGATACAAACGTTCATAAAAGGCAGTGCAGGAGGGGAAAAAAAGTTGTTGCACAACTTGAAATGAGGAAATAAAAAGAAATCCAATACCTCACTGTGTTAGGACACTTTTCCTTATTCTTTGTCTTCCTGATTCCTGAGTCACAAAGTCTGCTTGTCGCTCACGTCAACCCTAAAAGCCCTAGGCAGCTTTATAATGAAGCAATGTAAACCTCACAGGGCTTTTCCCAGCCTGCATCTGCACTGTTGTGGTATTTTGGAACATCTGTCGTCTGCTTGGCTGTATGTGTTTGGGTGTAATTCTGGCAAAGTGATGTGTTGATGTCTGGGAGCAGCTCTCCAGGGTGTTTTACCCTCTCAGAAGAGAAAGCAGAGCGAGAGAAGCTGTTGCTGATGTTGGAAATCAGTGACAGGAAGCTTTAACCTGCCAATTAGCCAGACTGTAGATGAGCTTTGCCACTACAACCACAGTTTCCTTTTTTTTTTGGTCTTTTTTACGAGTCAAAGAAAAGGGGATGCTGTTGTCTAAAAGCAGACACAATACTATGCAAAAGTTTTGTGCCACCATTTCTAAAACCACCCATTCCTTTGTTTTGCAAGGAAAATGAGAAATATGTGCAACACAAACTTGCATGGAAATACAATATATAAGGGAAAAATATCGTTTGTACAATTCTAACATTGAAAGCCAAGATTTGGCATGACTACATTTATTCTTCAACACAGCCTGAAGTCTCTCAGGCAAGTGTTCTTGTATTTTATGTCATGTTTCTTTTCTTCACTGGTGATGTGCTTGGCATCATTGTCATGCTGAAAAACGAAGCCATTGCCAGTCAAATGGTATTGCATGGTGGATCAAAATCTGATGGTACTTTTCCGATTCTATAATTCCATCAATTTTAACATCTCCACCACTGCCTGAGATAGAGCCCCAAACCGCAACAGAGCCTCTGTCGTGATGGCTGCAGACACTCTGTTCTTGTGTAATGTGGCATCCCTCAGCCTTTTCTCCCCGTTTTCCTTCCTTAAAAATGGCTTCTTGACAGTCACCCTTCCACTGAGACCATTTCTGGTGAGTCTTCAATGAACAGTAGATGGATCAGCTGAAGGACCAGATGCATCTCTCAGGGCCTGTGTCAGGCATTTGCTGGATTTGTTTGTCTATTTTTTAAGAACATGACTTTCAGATACTGTTAATCTGTAGTAGATGTATTTATAGGCCAGAAGTATGCAGAATTACAAGAAACATGAACTTGCGCTGCCAGAACAGCCCTGACCCAGGAAAGCATGGACTCCATAAGACAAATGAATGTGTCTAGGTTTATTTGTATTCATACCACAGAAACTGCCCTGAAAACTCAACATTTGTGTTTTCTGCCACTACTTCTTTTGCCCTCCATTTCTCCAGTCTCCTCAGATTTTTTAAGAACACACTGCACACCATGCTTTAAATCATCTTGTTGGTGTAATAATATTATTTTATGCTGATCAAACTCTTTTTATCTTTGACAGTTTTTACAGAGTCAGGAAAACAACATTTTTTTATGTTACTCTGAAGATGGTCAGGTACTAGGACTCAACTGAAAATGAGTGAAAAAGCAGTCAATGTCCAAATAAAACCTTCGAAAGACTTTCAGAACATTTGGAGAACTATTGCTAAAAGCAACACCTCCTAAACATATGAGAGTGGCTCAAGACTTTTGCACAGTATTGTATTTTTACATTACGTATTTGCGTAAAGAGTACAAGGAGAGGTCACATTTTTCATAACTGAATAAATAATCTATTTAAGTTTCTCCTGGTTGTACTTAACTTTTAAGGCAACAGTCTTATGGGAAGCTTTCAAGGCAACAAAATGAAATTCAAGCCATATTTATGCTTTTATGCCAACGCATAAAAAAAAGACAGGAACGTTAAGTGGTAATGACTTAAAATCAAACCATCCATGTTCATGAGTGGGCTGGAGATATTTCTGACAACACATTTGGTGGAGTTCACTCATGCACTGTTGACTTGAAGATGCTGGAGGGGGCAAAATGCTCTGTGGATGACTTGCCCTGTTTGGCCCAGCTGTGTCTGTTCGCATTTATCCCCGCGAAGCACACTAGGGAAGAAGCTCTGAGCATGCCTCCACCCCCACTTGAACATCCATACCGGTACTTAAACTAACCCAGTTCTTCAATAACATGAAAAGTGCGTGCAAAGATGTTTCAAAATCGAATGTATGAAGAAAACACATGAAAATAGGACATTGAGTCTTGTGTCACCAATTTCTGCAATTTAGCCAAACTGTGATGATAAGTACAGGGTGGCTTTTGTTGAGATAAAGCGATGCGATGGCTCTGATGTTTTCCTGTCTAGATGACTGTTTGGATGACCTAGAAGTATCATATCAGGAAGCTTCAAATTATGTGCAAAGAGCTGCAACAAGTCAGACAGCTAGACTTCATTTAAAACTACTTCAGCTCTCTGTCCTTCCATAGTTATATATCATTCTTTTTGCTATAGCTTAGCATAAAGTGGGGAATTACAGCGAAACACTTTGCTCAGCTTTTTCCAAAGGTAACAAAATGCTAAGCATCCCACTATACTGTACAAAAGCACATCATTTCTTCATATTTTGCTAGGAAAATGGGAAATAGATACAAACACAAATGGAAATACAGTATAGTCATTTCCTGGGAGGATGACTAAGTTGCACCTACTCAAAAAACAAAAACAAGAATAGCACAGAGAACAATCCCACCCCAACCCTTTCTTCTCATTGTTACACATTGTGAGCTTTTAGAGGTGCTGATTAGGCAAATTTCAATACTGTTGCACAGAGCCAGGCAAGCCATTTACATAATTTACACTCTACTATGCTAGGCTAGCACCCCACCATCAGTGTTGATATTTCCCAATGTGTATTTTTTTTTCCTTTTTGCATATAAAAGAAGTATATTATGAATAAATGGGCCAAACAACAGACATTAGTTTGCAAATATTAAAGTGGAATAAGATGTAAGACGAAAGCTGAAAGCGAGGGACAAAGGGCAAAAAAATAATACAGCATATGAAATGCAGAAGAGACAGTGCAGTGACACTGAAAATCCTTCCAGCACAGTAAGTTCATCGCATATTCAAAAGGACATATTCAATTTGCTGTTTCAAAATAACTTCATAAAAGGAACACAAAGGAACAATGTTCACGTTTGAATCTCTTTCTACATCTGACTCACTTTTTTCTTTCAGACGCTGCACGCTGAGCTTTGAGCTGCCAGTCAAATTTTGATAAAACACACAGCTGATTGTGGGCAAATCTTCAATAAAGCCTCCTGGAGAAGGAATGAGTGAAAGAAAAGAAGAAAAAATCAAAACCAGACTTTTCAATATCAGAAAACACAAATACAAGACTTCACAGATCGATATCATGAAGACATTTTTCAGCATTCTTAAGTCAGATCACAAATAAAGATGTTTGATTAATCAGTGCAGGGCTCCTTCTTCTTGACCTCTCAATGGTCAGTCCACATGAACTGAACTGGCAGCTACAGGAAAAAACATCCTCCATGTTTAGGCCACAAATGCACAATGTGGTAGTTTTATGAAAAGGACAGGGCTGGCAGAAGAAGAAGAGGGCGAGAGAGGATGAAGAAGATCAGAGGGAGAAAAGCAAGAAAATCAGAAAAGACAAATTTCTGACCAGATGCATCCTAAATAGAGTAGCAGAACTCGTTTCTTGCTTCTGTTTCCGTCCCATTTTACTTTCCCATCAATCAAACTCTTTTGAAAAACTTTAGACTGACTGAAGGAGGTGAAACCGAGCTGTCGCATTCCTGCAAAATTGATCGAGTCTTTTATAGCTGCATGTGCTGACCAGTGTATCTGTGTTGTCCAGAAACCTAGACTACAAAGCTAGTACTACACAGTAGCTGTGATCTATAATATACCCCATTTCATTGTCTGTTTTGCTCTACATGGAACCATAATTTACACATCGTGTTCAATGCAACTTGAAACTAGCAAATGAAAGCACAACATAATTAGAGAAACATGAACAGTGGGTGCACTTTTTCATAAACATCAAGACAATTATCAAGAAGAGGAGTCGCCCCCTGCTGGACAACGAATGCACGTTTATGCCATTTCCACTTTGGCCTTACTTTTCAGATCCGGAAGCCTTGTCTGTTCACCTGCTGTAATATAAATGAATACAAATATCTAGTCATCACATGGCAGCAACTTTTTGCATTTAAGCATGTAGACATAGTCAAGACAACATACTGAAATTCAAACCGAGCATCAGACTGGAGAGGAAAGGTGATTTAAGTGAATATAAACATGGCATGGTTGTTTGTGCCAGACAGGCTGCTCTGAGTGTTTCAGAAACTACTGATCTACTGGGAGTTTCCAACACAACCATCTCTCAGGTTTACAGAGGATGCTTCAAGAAAGAGAAAATATCCATTTAGCGACACTTGATGTCCTGTTGATGCAGGATCAGAGGACAATAGCCAGACTTCAAGCTGACAGGACAGCAACAGTAACTCAAAAAAACACGTGTTACAACCAAGGTAAGAAGAGCGTCCCTGAATACACAACATAATGAGCTACAGCAGCAGAACATTACACCAAATATTACTGATGTTACCACAGAAGAGGACAACATGCAAGGATAAGCATTTCATCCTGCCTCGTATCAATATTTTCCTGGCAAATTTTCGGTCCCTCTTGGTCCAATATCCTCCAGATTGTTGCTGAACACGGTCATCTCTTTATGATCACAGAGTAGCCATCTTCTCCAGGCTGTTTCCAGCAGGATAACATGTCATGTCAGTTCACATCATCTCAAACTGGTTTCTTGAATGTGACAGTCAGTTCACTGTACTTAAATGGCTTCCACACTTACCAGATCCAGTCCAACAGAGCACCTTTAGGATGTGGTGGAACAGGAGGTTTTACATCAAAGATATTTAGCTAAGAAATCTGCAGCACCTTCATGATGCTGTCATGTTGATATGGACAAAAATCTCAGAGGAATGTTTCCAGCACCATATTGAATCGCTGCCATGAAGAATTACAGCAGTTCTGAAGGCAAAACGGGTCCAACCCAGTACTAGCAAGGTGTATTTAATAAAATGCCCTATGAGTGTATATTCTCATTTTCCAAAAAGCAAGCTACACGTGACATGGGCGAGGGTGGTGGTCATATTGCCATGACAACAAGAAGCAACAGCCAGGTGTGATTAGTGATTAGTGAATGGTCAAATAATTGTAAAATATAGGAACTCAGGGTTTGAACATATTTTATATCTGTATTTTGAACATCGTCCCATTTAAAAACAAAAACAAATGCAGTACTATGAATGTTTTCCAGGTGGGAGTGTTTAAAAATTTCCAGCATTTAAACTATATCATGTATTCTTTCTTGTTTATGATTGCTGCCTTTCACCACACCATGAGGTTTGGCTGCTGTGAAGAACTACAGACTTTGACATGGTTGGACAGGGCATCATTTGTCCTCATCCTAGTCTAGTTTTACCATAAAGACTGGAAAAAAAACAAACAAACCCTCGAACAAAACACCAGTAGTCTTCTAGTAATTCCCCAACCAAGGCAACGATCAGCAAGCTGATGTGTTAACTTGTGAGCATTATTGGTTCATTGAGCACATTTTGTTACCTTTGGAGAGGGCTTCCAAATTCACACAGCTTTTATGAAAAGTTCAGCCATTTGGTTGCTGTAGCTTAATATTTTTAGAATAGCAATGGACAATATTAATCTTCTCATGGAACATTTGGCAACAATGAATTTCCAAAAATGTGGAACTATTCTTGTAAGTTCGATTTGCAGAGTTTTTGGCATTTGTCTGGGGCAGAGTGGATAGAAAAAGGATAAAAAAAGATGAGTTATTTCTTACAACAGAACATAAAAGAAGGTATTCATGAAGCCAGGAGGAGCAGAAGAGAGGGGATAAGATCAAGTAATCAGCACAAATCTCACCAGCAGGACCACCTGAGTCTGAAGAGACAAGAAACAGCCAATCAGCAGCGATTGCTGTGGTCGATGTCCTCAAAGAGTCCTCTCCTCTCGTAACACAAAGCTACTGTCTGGCAGAGGTCCTCACATGAATACTGAGACACGCATAGACAGGTACAGATGGAGGATGAAAAACTGTGTTTGCATGAGGGAGGGGTAGCTAAACAATAGAGCTAAATATGACAAATGCACTCAGCAGCAGCTGATGTTGTGCTCCCAGGTTACCATAGGTTGCTGAGGTTGCTCGTGGTCATTCACTCCTGCTTGGGTGGATGAAGCTGAAAGAGGATGGATGACAAAAGACAAAGAAAAGTGAGTAAAAGCATACATGTGTATGTCTGCCTGGGTGTGTGTGCAGAAAAAGCACAGCTAATCGCTTATATTGGCAAGTCCTGAGCAATGGCAGACTGTGAGAGGAAAGTGTAGGAAACGTCTTGCAGATACACACCCTCACACACCAACCTTGAGTATTTGTGGTTTTTTTTAAAGAAAAAACATTCTGGCCTGTGTGTCTAAAGGAGAACATTGCCCAAATGTTCCAGAGCCGAGCTCCAAACTTTGCAGGAGGAGAATGTGAAGAATGCTCTGACTCTTCTCTTCATAATGTGGAGAAATTGGACATGATAGAATCTGAGTATCAGGTTAGATTAGCTTAGAAGGTCATCCTGACCTGCACTGTTTAACCCCTTTTTATGAATATTGTCAGCAGCAGCTGTGCAAACTCACATGTGTGTGCAGAAGGTTTATCTGATGAAATGGCTAATTACTGGAAGGGGTAGCCAAATGTTACTGGAAACGG